CTGCCTGCACATACAGCAATCAGATCCCGTGTCTTCTCTCCATGCAGCAATCAGATCCAGTGTCTCCTGTTCACTCCATGCTGGAGCTCATTTGCAATTCTGGGACTGCACGGTCACCTGTGCTGCTGAGCTCGCTGTGCTGACCAAACAGGAAATGAAATTCAAAAGTTCCTGGGGCTTTTCCTCTGTACCTGGCTAGTGCATCAGAGCTGAAAGTGCTGTCCAGAGTGATCACATTGGAGCACTCTGGGATAGCTTCCAGAGGCCAATACCATCGAATTGCACAGCCCTGAGTCTACAGTACCCCAAAGTCGACCCAGGAAGGTCGGTTTTATCACTATTCCCCTCGTCGGGGAGGAGAACAGCAGTCGATTTTAAGAGCCCTTTAGGTCGGGGTTGGTTGTGTTGACCCATTCCTTATAAAATTGACCTAACACAGATAAATTCGACCTAACCTCGTATTGTAGACCAGGTATAGGGACCTAGACCAGGTGTTCCTCAGAGTGAGGAAAGAACTAGTGCTAAAGAATTGACCTCTGAAATTTGAGAATGGGACTTTTCAAGCAGTGCAGCTTCTGGTGAATCACGTGATTAAGATCCATCTCCAGTGTGCTAAGATGCTGTGTAGAAACAGGATAGTATTTGTTTTCATTTTTAAAAGGGCCATTGATAAGGCTGGTAAGCCTAACAGACCTAGCAGGCTGTTTACATTAAAACCACTTTACATCACTCTGGTAGGCACTTTTAGGCTCCTTCACACTAGCAGAGCAATAAAGTGGCCTTTGTGTAAATAGGGATCAGGTGTGCATTTGGTTGCCATCTGAAAAGTGTGCTGCTGATGATGATCAGAATGTGTCCTGTTCTGAATATTATCCATCCCTTTCTCTAAGAGTGGATCCAGCCACCAGGAATGCTGGGGTGTGCACAGGCTGCAAAAAATGAGTGAGCTCTGTGATGAGACCCCCCAGTGATTAACCATGTGTCCCTGAAGCCAGAAATGTTGCTGCTTCAGGGGAAAAAGGGGCTCTTTGAAGGACAAGTCAGGGAAGAGGTCAGTTTGTAGAATAACTCCGTAATTCCAGGGCTCCCGGTAGTCAGACAAAAGACATTTTTCTATAAGGTTTCCTTCCTACCTTGATTGTTTTGTACGCCTTCTCCCCTGTGAGGTAATTGTGCACTTACAAAATTCAACTCTAGTTGTACATATTTTAGTGTTTTGAAGTTTTGAAAAAGTCCTAAATGAGTTAGAAACCTAAATGTAGGACTTTCAATGAGACTTGGGAGCCTAAGTGCTAGAATCACTTTTAAAACTGGGGCTTATGCCCTCTCAAAAATTCTACCCCTTACTCATAAAGAAAATAAGGATACAGGAACATTCTTTATGGTAATGTACCCCAAAATAGCCTTGGATACAAGATTATGTATATTTTCCGTCAAAAATATATAGGCAGGGATTTCCAAACAGGTCTAAACCCCTTAGTCCGCTTTGGAAATTCCAGTCAGTGTGCTTTCTTCTCTTGTTTTATTTCCAAATTTCTAAAGTATGTTTTATTACAGATTTGAAGAGAAAAAAAATCTCTTAAAAATAGGTTCAGAAAAATGCCATTTTGATATGTAAATGTAAGAATTTAGACTAAATTGTGCTTTTTTAGACACTTCTGTAATGTAAAAGTTATTAACGAAGCACCTCTTTCTGTCATGTGTGAATGGCAGAAAGTTTCATAGCCAGACATATGACAGTTTTGAATGATTTCTTGTTTCCTATGATGTTTATAAACATTGTAACAAAATTTGTTTTGCCAAGGGCAAACATTGCCTCTGGAAAGATTTTAGCTATCATGAGTAAAAAAAAACAAAACAAAACAAAACAAAAAACCACACACACGGTATTTTAGGAACTATCTGCAGAATTTCCATTATCCAAAGGTACATTACACATATTGCCAAGGTTACATGCTCTCCAAGGCACATTATTAAATATCTGCAAGGTTTCCATTTTCCTGACAGAAACAATTACAAATGCCATGCAAGAATAATTTCACACAGAAGTGAGGCAGGCATCAGAAAGTCTCTTAGGTAACAGTTGCAAATATCTATGCTAATGTTATAGTTCAACTTTTATACAGAAAGCTAAATGGTATGCCACAAAAATAAGTTATGTGGGTTTGCAGCAACACACCATGCAAGCATAGTGTATATGGCAAAGTCTTGTAGCACTCTTTAAATGTAAATTGATTCAGACCTTAGACCATTCCCCACACCCTAGTCTGTTTCTATTTCAATAGAATGGTGAAGTTCCGCCAGATATTCTTTGAAGATTGTGGAACACCCACTGGCACTTTATACAAACAAAACAGATGGAAAGGGCGTCTGGTGTTGAGTCTGTTACTCCTGGAAGTCTGAAGAATGGATTACATTGTTCTCACCTCTCCTGTTGACTTATTTTGCCTTTGGTTTGTAATCATCAAAATAGTCGACGTTCCTTGCCTGCAGTAGGTTTTTCCCCCCTTTAAACAGGAACAGTTAATGCTGATTTACTTTTCGCATTATAGCACTAAAATAATAAAACTGGTTAATCTCAACTTCTATTTTGAATGGATAAAGCACCCAAGTCTATGCATTCATTTCTAATCTTGCTGTAGACAGTTACAGTATACAATGATATTTGCATGTGTTCGACCCCCTCTCTTGGCTATTCCTCAATCTTCAGGCACAGCAACCAAGTGGAACGTTTCTTTATTGAAACTCATAACCAGAGCAAGGAAGATATAGAACCAAAGGCTAGTTGTAAATCATTTGTGCAGGTCACCAGCCCCCAATGCAAATGGAGTTATTTGAAAGTGGGTAGGCAAAAGGTGTGCTCAGAGTTGATAAAGATCCCATTATATCTGATTAAAGGAAAAGTAGATGAAGAGCCTCCACTGTCATTTGTTTCACACGTCCTTATTGCGTTTTGTTATACTCAGCTGAATCCTGATTTCTTTTTAGATTATTTTCCTTAATGCCTCAATTTAGCAAGGTACTTAAGCACTAGAGCTGGTTAAAAGAAAGAAAAAAAAAGACAGCTTTTTTCTATTGAAACCAATGTGCTTAATGGGAACATACTGGCTTCGATTAAAGTAATTGGGAAGTTGTCAGGTCAAGAATGGAATTTCTGGTCAACATGAGAGAAACTCATCCCGGAATAGCCAAGAGCATAGTGATCAGGGCTCTGGTCTGTGGAAGACCCAGCTGTGAGTCTGGGCTCCAAATCAGGCAGATAGGAGACTTGAACCTGAGTCTCTCACAGCCCCAGTGAATACCCTAGCCACCTAGTGATTGGCCATTCTCTGGTATCTGCGTCTCTCGTGAGAAGTCAAAACAAATGTTAAAAACCTCTAAATTTTGTAGAGGGCTGAACTCTTGTTTTCCAGCCAGCCCTACTAAGCAAATACCTGACTTTAAGGATGCGAGCAGTCCCTTTGACTTCAGGTCCTCATATGCATAGAGTTAGGTACATGCACTCTGCTGAACTGGGGTCCAAATAGGGAACTCTGTACTATTGCAAAGTTTAAAGGCTTTTGCCTTTTGGTATTTCAGGACAAGTAGTGTGGTCCAAATCCTGCCCTTCTGTGCTAATAAAGGACAAGGCTGAAAGTGCCCTGTTTTCTTCCTTCCCTTAGAGCAGCAGTACCCTGAAACAGAACACGTTCCATGGTGCTAAGAATCTCAGTTTTTTTCAGCCAGAGGCTGTAGCCAAACCTCCACTCAACTTGAAGGCATGCTGCTATTTATAGCAGGCACTGATCTACTCCTTTTGGATGAAGCAGCCACGTACACCCTGTTATGAGAGCTTCCAGCGTTCCCGCTGGGACCATGCAGGATCCAAGGGGGAGAAATTCTCTGAGCTTTATCCTTGCTCCCATGCACAAGCATTCACCGAAAGCAGGATCTGGCACCATTTCAACCCTTTTTAAAAAAGACTGCCGGTGTGTAAAGACATATAAACTTAAAAACTTGAGCACACTAGCCACATGTATTACAGAAATACCATGCACTAAAATTAGTTATCCCGTGCAACATAATGGTAACTGCGTTATCTCAGGATAAGATGGTAAATTTATGTCACACTCTGCCTACAAAAAGAAAAGGAGTACTTGTGGCACCTTAGAGACTAACAAATTTATTTGAGCATAAGCTTTCGTGAGCTACAGCTCACTTCATCGGCTGCATTCAGTAGGGGTGGGGAAATTGGAATCATGTTTGGCTAAGGGCAGGAATGGGAACAGGGACACAGGTGTAAGGCTTTGTTGTGTCAGAGCTGGGAAGGGGGACACTAAGGAAGGAAACTGGAAACATGGAACTGGAAGTTCACCCCAATAAACATCGAATTGTTTGCACCTTTGGACTTCGGGTAGTGTTGCTCTCTGTTCATGCGAGAAGGACCAGGGAAGTAAGTGGGTGAAGGAATAAGCCCCCTAACATCTTGAATGCATCCGATGAAGTGAGCTGTAGCTCACGAAAGCTTATGTTCAAATAAATTTGTTAGTCTCTAAGGTGCCACAAGTACTCCTTTTCTTTTTGCAAATACAGACTAACACAGCTGCTACTCTGAAATCTGCCTACAAAAACAGCTATGTCCGAAGAATTATTTAACATAGTAGATTGTGAGTCAGCTAGTGTTCGCTGAGATCTAGCTGATCCCCTCTGAGCTGCAGTGAAGATTCCATGGAGTCCATTGCCAAACCTCAAAGGCCTTTTCGTGCTATTAGTATTTTATTCAATATATATTGTTTCTGTATTTAAGTTCATAATATTATCCTCTTTTAGTACAAGTTCAACTATTGGGCCTGATTCTGTTGAGAATCAGGAGTAATTCCATTCAAGTCAGCATGTGTAAAAAATTATAATGGAGATTAGTGAAGCCTACTGCTTGTATGTACAGAGACAGAATCCAAGGCTGTGGAAATGTACATCAAGGGGAAATGTAAAAAGCTACAAGACATACCCATCACTGTCCAATATTCACCATTCCCAGGAGCTTTGAGAAGCATTCTGCTACCCATCTTTGCACCACTGCAATCTACAACTGTAACATCAAGGCATAACAGGCCCTAAAGAAGGAAAGAGACTCATTCATTTCCACATGTGCTATTCAGATAGTCCTGTGTGTTTAGAGAAATAGTGCTCCACCCAGTCAGACACTGGCAATCAAGTCTATTATTTGCCTCCCGTGCAAACTGTGTTAGTATTTAAGAGAGACTGGGGACTAGGACTCAGGTCTTGCTACGGACACACTGTATAAGCTTTGAAAAGTGAAATTCAAACCTCATCATGTGAGCTGGTGGTCACTTGGAAGTCAATTCAGGTTACGCAACACCTGGCATGATCAAACCCTACCTCTAAAATGGGTATAAATATCATGCTTTAAAGCCATCTTTTGATGTTTGATTTAAACAAAATTATAAGCCTGCAATGATATTGTAAATACAAAAGGTTCCATTGTAAAGCATCTAGGCAACTCACTAGAATGTGAGATAATATTTCCAAAGTCCGAGAGCATTCCAGCTATACCCTAAAGCATGTGTTTTGATGACCCTTGTTACAGAGACTGACTCTTGTGTTTTACATACTGTATAGGTGAGGTTTTTTACTGTGTTAAGTATGGATAATGCGGTGTCTTCCTTTATTTCAATCTCCATCCATTCTGAATATTCAGCATGGCGCTGGTGTAAAATAATTGCTACAGTATGTCATAAGTGACAGATTTAAAAAAATCTGTCATGTCTAAGTGTCTGGCAAGTATTTTATGGAACATTTGATTACAGCTGCTTAGTTCACATTTGGACGTGGTAATGAGGATAGGATTGACCAATGTATACTGACTGCCAATATGTTACATTATACTGTGTTTCGGGCATTTATACATTTTCCAAAAATGTACACATGTATGACTAAGTAATCAGGAATTGATGCTAACCACTGGCTGACAGGGTATGTTGTCTATATGTCACTGCCTCAATTATTTAGGGACTATGACAGAATATACTCATGTTCAGACCCCACACACTATTGTAATAATGTTTGTACAGAAGTATGCTTTGTGAGGTATCATGAAAAAACACAACTTGCTGATCAACAGCATGGCAAAATTATATGTAAAGTTATAAACATCTGAAATTATAACTGAAGTATATTTTTCCCAGATAAATCTGGGGAATGGCTAAACCAGACAAAGGGCAAGCTGATGCCCCCTCCAGGTGTCAACAAGATTGAGATCATTACCTGCTAAGTGGCCATTCTTTGGCAAGGCAGGGGACAGAGAAAAAAAAAAAAAACAGCAGAAAAAACAGCATGGTGTTTCCTCTCCTTACCAGGCAGCCTGTTGCCTTGCTCCCAGCTGGAAATGCTTCTCAAAGCAGTGGACAGAACTATAAAGAGGGGCAGACACCCCCAAGATACCCCTCCTCTCTCTCTCTCTCTCCCTGTCTGTCTCTGCACAGCACCTAAAACAACAAACGAAAACAGCCAGTGAACTCTGGGTTGGGGAAAGGGGTGTCCAGTAATCTGCTGGAGCATGTAGTGAGAAGTTTTCCTTGAATCTAATATAGTTTGTGGAGTTGGGCATTAGTAAATGTTTTATCCTTATTTTTCTTGTAACAGTTTTTGACATTTATGACATTACTTATCTTCACGTAAAAACTTTGTAGTTAATCTTGTTTTACTGTTTTATCAAATCCAGTGTGTTTAAATTGGAGTGTTTGGGTAACTATTTAAAAGAAACTAGCATGTTATTCCCATAAAGTAATAAGTGACTTAATATATTTGTCCTGTCCAGGAGACGGCTGGGCAGTACAGGACATACATTTCTGGGGGGAAGATCTGGAACTAAGGGTATTTTGGGGTCACCCTGCAGCATAATGAAGGCTGGTACGAGCCCAGGCTGGTATGAGAACGCGCGCACACACACACAGAGGTGGGAGTGACTTAGATATGGGAGGCTGTTTGTGAGCAGGCCAGGTTGGAGGCTACAGCAGCAAGACACTGTAAAGGGCACCCCACGTTATAGGGCGGGGGTGACAGTCTCCCACTAATCTGATTGTTCCCTGGTATATCACAGGGATATGATCTAATTCAAGGCCACAGCTCCCAATGACGGTACTGGGCATGAGCGCATCTGCATGGGCGCTTCTGTGGGAAGAGATGGTTCATTTATAAGATTATTTCTCATGTTAGACGTTTGAAGTTAAACCTGAAGCATAATTCAGTCATTTTCCTCTTCTCTAAGTAAGAGGTTTTAGTACTAACAGTACAGAAAAAGGTTGCTCAATTTTTTTTCATGAAAAATCCAGCATTTATCTAGAAAGCTCAATCTCAGCCTCATCCCTCTCTGTAACAGAGATGGGGTGAAAATACCACCTGAGGTAACTACTCCCGAAATCAGGTTGAATATAAAAGCTTACTCCAATCAGTAAGTGGTTTACCAGATCCAAGTTCTGCTAACATGTGAAAAATGACCACACCCCCTGGCACTAAGATCTTTTGCACATCTAAAGAACAAACAGCTAAAGGTTCTTTAGAGTTTATAATCTCTCAAAGAGGCAATATCATCAACTGGTGCAAATTATCTGAGCCATGTCTATTATGAAGGAAACCAACCTGATTTATGTGTATAACATATGAGAACTTCATCCGGTCGCATAGCGGAAGCTTTAGCTAAAGTCTTTCCATCACAATTGATTAAAGAAACAGTACTATGTAGTAATTACTATGTAGGATAAAGTCTCTGCTAGATTTAGGTATAAGTGTAGTTATAACTTCTTAGAGCAGATGGGAGAGTATGCTCATTCTTGGCCTCACTGAACGTGTTCAGCGATGTAGGTGTTAGAGTTTCAGAGAGCTTTTTGCAAAATTCAATTGAGAACTCATCTGCACCAAGAGTCTTTCTGACCTTAATTTCTCTTATACGCTGAGAGTGTGCTACTATTTCTAGAGGGATATCTAAAAAGTTTCTTCTGAAAGGCAAATTTGTGACAATCTACGGCATCGTTATTGATTCCCTCTTCAGCTAAATATAGTTATGAATAAAACTATTGAAATTTATATACATCCCAGTCAGATATTAATTTATTGCTACTATCACAAACAGTAGAAATCTTATTTTGTTAGCCTTTTGCTTAAGTTTGTATGTCAAAAGCTTGCCAACTCTCTCAGATTCCCAGAAGTTTTGCTTCAAACAGAATAAAGCAACCTCATCCTTTTGGGACAGAAGTTTTTTGATTTCATATCTTAGATTGATAAGGGTTCTGAGTTTCTCTGGGGCGGGAGCAGAAGCATCGTCTACACCCAACGCCTGGATTTCCTTTGCAAGAGTATCAATGTTCTGTTCTCTCCATTTCTTTTTAAAGGTAACAAAGAGAAATGATCTCTGACGAAGGTTTTAAAGTCTTCCCCAAATGTGGCACCTGATGAAGCAGTGGGAGCATTTGTTTTAAGAAAGTTCTAGCTTCTGCTGGATAGAAACAACAAATGTATCAAAAAGCAGACAGGTTTTTAATTTCCACATTTTATTTGGGGTGTGTACCCTGAAGGCTTAACAGACACATGCATAGGAGCGTGGTCAGATATAACAGAAGTACCAATGCCACAGTCAGTAACAAAATTGACCAAGTCTTGTGACATGAAGAAATAGTCCAATCTTGAATATGTTGAATGAGCTGCAGAAAAAAAACAAACAAAAAAAACCCCACAAACTAGAGTCTTCCACTGTAGGTTACCTAAGTTCCACATACCTCGTAAATCTAAATCAGCCATGTATTAAGTACCTGGCAAGTATTAGTATTTTCATGTGGAGATAGAGAAGATCAAGGACTGGGTCTAGAGCAGGGGTCTCAAACATGCGGGCCGCGCTGCATCCCTGCTCCTCCACCTACCTCCCGGCATTTAGAACTTTCTGGGGGGGAGGGGAGGTGGCTGAGGAGAGGCGGGGCCAGGGCGGGGATTTGGGGAAGGGGGTGGAGTCGGGCAGAGGTGAAAGTAAGTTGGTACACCCAGTAAGCGTACCAGTAAGAGCTGGTGCCCCATACTGGGACCAGCTTTCCCAGAAGGCAATTTAAAGCCCTGGGGTAGTGGTGGCGGGGCTGCGGCGGGGATTTAAAGGGCCCCGGAGCTCCAGCCGCTGCTACCGCCCCGGCCCTTTAACTCTCCACCTGCCCTGCTGCCGAAGCCCTGGGGTAGCAGCGGCGGCGGGGTTCAGGCGAGGATTTAAAGGGCCCTGGAGCTCCAACTGCCACTGCCTCCCCAGGGCCCTTTAAATCCCCGCCAGAGCCCAGCTACCAAAGCCCTGGGGTAGCGGAGGCGGGGCTCCCGAGTGGATTTAAAGGGCCGGGTCGGTAGCATCGGATGGAGCCCTGGGGCCCTTTAAATCCCTGCCAGAGCCCCCCCACCCCTACCCCAGGCTCAGGCGGGGATTTAAAGGGCTCGGGGCTCCAGCAGCTGCTACTACAATGGAGCCCCAGGCCCTTTAAAGCTCTGCCAGAGCCCCAGGGTAGCGGTGGCAGCCTGGAGCCCCCAGGGCTCCTCAGTGATTTAGAGGGCCTGGCGCTCCGCTGCGGTAGCAGTAGCTGGAGCCCTGGGCCCTTTAAATCGCCCCCGAGCCCTGGGGCTCCCAGCCGCCTCTGCAGCTGGTAGCTCAGGGGTGATTTAAAGGGCCCTGGACTCCCAGCCACCACTACCACAGCTGGAACCCTGGCCCTTTAAATCAAGATTTAAAGGGCCTAGGGATTTAAGGCCCTGCCTCTTCCGGTTGAGGCCACGTCCCCTGCTCAGGACTCTGGTGTACCGGTAAGTCCTCTAACTTACTTTCACCCCTGGAATAGGGGCAGGGAGGTGTGGCCTCCTTTCCCACTTTGGGAAAGGGGTTGGAATGGGGCTGGGGAAGGGGAAGGGGTGGGAAGAGGCGGGGCAGGGGGTGTGGCCTCATGGACTAGATGAGCAGTCTGAGGTATGAAGTTCAGCATGTATGATTCTTTGCTTGGAGTAGTTGGGAAGAATGTTTGTTAAAAGTGGCAACATATTTTATATGAATAGTTACTTTAAAAAGTTACTGCCAATACAGCTATGTTGATAGACTGTTAGTGTAGATCATCATCAGTGTTACTGACCACATAAGGAATAGTTATAGGTGTTTATATTTTATTAAAACCCCTCTTCGCATTACAGTTTTTAAAAAGCTAATACATTGACTTTTAATAGCATACTATATTACTCTTCTTTTTTTTTTCATTTTTGACTATATTTTTGTACCGTTGTATGAAAAGGTTTCAGTGATGTGGCCCTCAGGCCAATGTATTAGTCCTCAGGTGGCCCTCGTTGTGATTAGAGTTTGAGATCCCTGGTCTAGAGTTTCATTAAAGTCTTCAGCTATAATAGGATGATGGTTATGGTTAAATTTTGGTCATGGGTATTTTTAGTAAAAGTCACAGACAGGTTAAGAGTCTGAATTTTTGTCTATTGCCTGTGACTTTTACTAAAAATACCCAGGGGTGGGGGGAGCCCATTGCAGGCTAACCACTGGCCCCCAGCCACTGCTTCTGGACGGGGGCTGACAGCTGGTCCAGGCCTGACGCGGCAGCAGGCTGAAGCCAAAGAAGTCACAGAGGTTCATTAAAGTCACAGAACCTGTGAGCTCTGTGACAGAATCATATCTTTATGGTCCATGGCACTGATACTCAAAAAAGTGATGAAAGATTTGGGATCATCCTGGTTTGGCCTGTACAGATTGGCAAAGAGGATTACAGAATTGCCAATATCAGCCTTGATGAGAGTAAATCTGTCCTCACCGTCAGACCTTGTGCTCAGAATATTAACATTCAATGTTATGTATTAGTATAGCAACAACCCTTGATTAAGGATCAAAGCAATTAGCAAGTGAGAGGCCTACCCAATCTGTTAAATTTAGAAGCTTTAAGTTCTGTCAACTGTGCCTCCTGAAGCATGGCCATGTCAACCTTCTCTTTGTTTAAGTATTGAATATACATCTCTCTTTTAATAGGGTTATTAAACCCCCTTATACCTGAGGAAACAATTATCAGAGCCATCATTGTTAAAATATACCAGATAAAAATATAAAGTCGCTTTGTGAATAAATGAGAAACTGCTAATTTTCCTGAGCAGCATACAGTTCTTGCATATGCAAGCAGCAAAAATTATATAATCCGGGGCAAGGTGTCACTTCCCAATACATGTTCTTCAGGGGTGGGAAGAAAATTCCCAGCATGGAAGGGTAACATGGGTGTGGGGGGCAGAAGAAGGAATTAACTAATGGAAAACATAATGGACAGAGAAATATTCATTAGTACCATACAATCAAGAAGAATCAGTTTAAAAAAAAAATACAACACCCAGAGAGGGCAGCTAGATCAAGTAAAACTTGGAGATCCTCAGTCCCTAGGGCCCCAAATAGTATTACTAAAGCAATCACCTATTATCAACAGAACCTTGATAC